TAAGTACATCGCTGAATGATGCTTTGCTAAATATTTAAGTTTTTGTGAGAATTTCAGAGATTTTCAAATAACGATACTCTTTTAGGATACGAATTCATGATGAAACTCGTTCATCGTTGGTTCCAGATTATAATGCTGATTAAAATTTACTCCAACTCCCGCACGTGAGCTAAACTATTTCATTTTTCTAGACGGCCCAGTGTAATTCTGATTTCTTAAAAATTGACATTGGTTTGAAATCACATTTTTCAAAAATAGTGATTTCAGTGACCATGTTGAAGAAATAAGTAACCAAATAGTGACTTGCAGATGTAAAAAAGTGACTATAAGGTGCCCTAAGGGAAGAAAATTAGTCGTTCTGATGGCATACCAAATAAATGTTTGATGTTTTAGACTTATTCAATTAGATTCTCATAAACACTTGAATATATACGATAGTAACCTTTAAAGCGAAAGATTCAATAGAAAGTTTATGACTAAACCTCCAAGCTTCTACTACCTGGAAAAACATGAAAAACCGGGAATTCGCAGGGAATCTTATCATTTCTCAGGAAATTTTATAATTTTCTTACTAAGAATTCATTTTAAAATAAAAAAATATAAATATTACTAGTTATTTTCATTCACACATTGAACTTTATAGATCCAGGATGGATTGATCTTCAGTAACAAATACTTAGATTTATAAATTCTGAACTGAAAAGTTATAACACTTCAAGAAATTTTCAAGAATCTGGAGTTTTAAAGCTCATGGAATTTTATTATAATTTCTAAGGACCTCATTCCACGGGAGTTCTGGGGGAAAAAAATATGAGAAAAACATCAACTGCAATCTGCTTTCATGGTACTTCTGAGGAATTGTAGACTTCATGTGAAGCTTAAGCTTAAGATAGTAAACTCCATGCGAATTTTCATGAGAAATCTCCGTTGAATATGAAATGGACTAATCTGTGGTCTTCATAACTACTTGAAAGTTCGCAAAATATTCCTGAATTTAATTAAACTGCCTTGAAGTTCTTTTTTAGTTTGAGAAACTAATCTGTTGCTCGCAATACTTTTCATCATTTCTTTTAACTTATCTAAACTTTTTCGGACTTCCTACAGTTTCCACAATTTTCCTAACGATCATGAATCTTTTCTAAAGTGTTAACAATTCACTGAATTTCTCGAAACTTTTTTAAAATTTATGTTATTTCCCTGCTCTGGAATATCTTTGCTCTGAGGATATCCGTTCTTTCTTGATGTTTTTTTTTGTTTAGAGCTTTATTAGCGAGATCAATATCTTTCTCGAAGTTCTCGAAACTTCTCTAAAGTGTTTGCAGTTCTCATAAAGCTTGTTGTACTACCATGAATTTACTTGAACTGTTCTAAAAATGTTCAAGCTTGCGTGAACTTTTGGACTTATGTGAAAACCTCAATAATTTTCTTAACATTTCTAAAGTTCTCTGAAAATATGGGAACTTCTTGAAATTTCCCGCTTATTTAGTGAAGCTAATTGAACTCAACTCCACTGAAATTCCCTTTGAATTTGGAGCTTTACTTAACTTATTTGAGATGCTCCCGAAATGACAATAAAAGTTCCTGAAGTTCTCGGATCTTCTCTTAGGTTACACATACTTTTAAGAAGTTCTCGAAATGTTTCTGAAGATCTTTGTACTTCTGCGAAATTTTTGAAGTTATTCTGAAATTTCAGGAACTTCTTTAGGCTTCCGCTCCGCAGCGAAATAATTAATATAGTTCTATGATTTTCACGGAAGTTCTCAAGATTTGTTCGTCTGAAGTTTAAATTATCGAAACTAATTCATAACTTCTTCAATAGACTAGAGTTTCCTGATGTTTTTAAAATTGCCCAAAACATTTCTCAGTTTCCTTAAAATTCTCTAGACTGCCCTGCATTATTATTTTTTTTAAAGAACCCATCATTTTACTGGACAATTTTCCTTAAATTTTATAAAGTTTATAAACGCCCACGGAACTTTGCATTAAATCACTAATTTTCCCTGCAAGAAGTTTTCTATGCTTACCTTAATTTCTCCAAATTGATCAAATGTTCCGGTAAATTTTCTGATATATATATATTTATAATTCCCTGAAGCTTTGCGGATCAATCATAGATTTCTCGAAATATCCCATAATTCCAAGGAACTCCATGTAAGTCACTGCAAATTTCCTTAAGTTAATGGGATTTTTCTGATGTTATCTAATCGTCCTGGAAGTATTCGGAACTTCACTGAATATAATGAAACAATCAAAAATATCTATTTAAATTTCTTAGAAGTTCACTGGGATTTCTTGAAAATACCGGTGCTTGCTGAAAGTTCTCGTCTTTTTTTTAATAAATGGTACTTCGTTGATGTTCTCTAATCAACTTAGCCAAATTTTCGAATTTTCTATAGATCTTGAAATTTCCATCACATTTTCGGGATGTTCATATAATTTTTATTGCGTTCCGGAAATTTTCTCTGAGCAAACAGAAGTTTCCGGAAATTCCGGTTTCTGCAATTTCCTTGAATTTTTTTGAACTACCCTTCAATTCTCTGATGTTCTCGGATCTTCCCTAAAACTCTCAACTCTAATGAAGATTTCAGTTCTGCTTTAAAATAAATGGAATTCTCGTAAACACCTTTAAACTTCCCTGGAATTCTCTTGATTTCTGTGAAGTTCCTGAAATGTTTCTGAAGTTTTCATAAATTTTCTGAAGGGTTCTCGATTTTATTTCAGCACCTCATGCAATTATCCTGAATTTGTCCAAACTAACGCTAATAGATTTTTAAACCAATTCAATAGTCTGGGCTAAAGTTTCGGAGACCACCCCTTAAGATCTCTGGAACTCCCCAAAGATCTCTAGATCTAGCTTTTCTGAGATCAATAGAACTTCATTAAAGTTTCCACATTTTTGATAGTACGAAACGTCAAGACATTAAAACTGTTGTGATCTTAGACTTACTAAAATGGAATAAGTGTTCAACTTCAACATTTAATGGATTTGAGCTACAGCTATTTCTTTAAAACTGATTGTCATGTCGAATTTCATGAATAGAATTCTTATTATAAACCTGGAAATTATCCGCCAAAGTTATGGAAAAACCTGGAAAACTTAGGGAAATTTATTTAGCCAAATGAGTGGACACCCTGTAGATAGAGAAGAACGATTAAACGAAAAAAATCTTTATACCAAGTCGTCAACTTCGAATTGTTCAAACATAGAACAAAATATAAAACAAAATGATCAATCTTGAATTAAATTTACGTTTAAAAAAAAATTGAAATAGTGACTTATATTGACTTATTATAAGAAAAAGTGACTAGCTCCCCATATCATTACAAACCACTTTGAACACCTTGGGGGTTTGTGATTAGCGGTCATTGGGGAGAAGAAAGTATTGTTCGACGTCTGTTGTTTATAGAGATCGAGCGACCCTATAAGCCAAGTAGTGTAAAGGGGGAAAATACGATATTCTGCTCAGTACATAAAAACGGTCGTCATTAGGCCACCGAGCCCCAACATCACAGCAAACCACTGTGCGACCGACGTAAAACTATTCACATGAAACGACGTTTCCGGAAGGAGCAAACTATGCTTTCGAACCCGAAACGAGCATCTGTCATATTTTACCGTGCATACCACTCACAGTTCCGACCAAGTTCTATCAGTAGAGCTCAGTGCTCGGATAAACTCAAAAACTAAAAACTCATGCATGAAAGTGTAATGAGCTGTTCCAGACCAAATAGCCAACAGCATTGATTTTTGACTAGACCTTCTCAGATTTGCATAATTGTTTGTAATAGGCTATCATTCACATTTGTGCTAATATTCGGCAATTTTAAATCATGAAAATTATTGTAAAATGGCGTATTCGACATATGGGTCATTCCAGCTCAATTGGGTACATAATTTAATAAAGTTGTGGTCGATGTCACCGATTTGAGCCGAACTTGGCCAACACGCTTATTTTGGCATTCTGAACAAACACCTTTTTTGATTTTGCTCTGAAGTGCCTAGATCTCGCTCGGATACAACCCTGGAATTTTAAAGATTTTGAAAAATTTCAACTTTCAGAAGAGATTACTCACTAACCAAATAAGCTATTTGTGATATTAGAACGTCAATTGAAAGGTTTCTTAATGTAGATTCACATAGGTGTACTCACATTATGTTTTTGTTATAGTAACTATAACAATAGTAATATATAGTAACTGAAATTTTATATATGTACCTGGTAATCTATCTGTTTTCATCGTACTTCTAAAGCACAACGTTTTGGCTGTATTCCATAGGAACACATTTTTCACTTTTAGGACCACAATTGAATTATGGACAGAAGTAAATGAATGAGCTAATTATGATTTCGTATAATGAGAATCCTGTCCAGATCATGTGAAAAATAACATAAAAATATCATTGTTCCATCGGCGTGAAGGAATTCAAAATTCAAATACAAAGCTAAAAACTACCCCTCACTCATCTGGCTATATCTCAAAACTATCTGTCCAAATCATTTGCCCTTGGAAAAACACCTAGTAGAAGAGTTTTCCAAAGTGTGGTAAAAATTTTAGCCAAAAATATTAAGAAATAAAAAATCCCGGCCAAGGTGGAAATCGGCCATTTTTGGACAATTTTGATACCTGCCGGTAATCAGTCTGTTTACTGTAGTTACCATAACAAAAACAAAATGTGGGTGCACCTACAAGAATCTACATTAAAAAACTTTCAAATTGGCGTTCTAATATCACGAATAGCTTATTTGGTTGTGGAGTAATCTCTTCTGAAAGTTGAAATTTTTAAAAATCTCGAAAATCCAGGGTTGTAGCTGAGAGGGCACTTCAGAGCAAAATCCAAAAAGGTGTTTGTTCAGAATGCCAAAATAAGTGTTATGGCCAAGTTTGGCTCAAATCGGTGACATCGACCACAGGTGATGTACCCACTTGAGCTGGGATGACCCATATTTCAATTGATCCTAGCATGAATTTCGGATATGATTCGATCAAAACACAGTGCATTTCGTTGCATTAAAAATTCATCCTATCTATTTACTCAACAGCAGCTATTTTCACACATAAATTAAGCGGGTTCAGTTTGACTAGCACACATCTTCTGTTCATACACGTACTTAGAACAGATATGGGTAGTTGTAGGGAGCGCTGTAAGCGGCGATTGCTGGGGCGGCAGAGTAGGCAGCGGAGTAGGCAGCTGGGGCGGCAACGTACTTAGCGGCGTAGGCAGCTGGGGCAGCGGCATAAGCGGCGTAGGCAGCCGGGGCAGCGGCGTAAGCGGTGTAGGCCGCTGGGGCAGCGGCGTAAGCAGCCGGGGCGGCGACGTACTTGGCTACGACTGGGGCGGCAGACACGTACGGAGCGGCAATGTTGTGGTTCACGGTGTGCGCATTGTACGAGGTGGCGTACGGGGCGACGACTCCGGCGGCGGCCAACGGGGCAGCGACTGGGACAACTCCGGCCGAAACCGAGCTCAGGGCGCAGATGGCCAGGCAGATCTGAGACAATGGAGATTGATTTGCAATTTTTCTAAATTTTAAAATTGACCTTTCAGAACTTACCACAACTTTGGAGTACATGTTGAATGGGGTTTGAGGTTAAAGCAAGTTTGGTTGATTGCAGTTGAACTGAAACTGATACTGTGAGTGACGATTGCAGCAAGTATTTATATGGGAATCAAATACACACGGTTCGCACTGTTGGTTTTGCTGCTGAAGCCCCCCTCCGCCACAAGTGTATCGGTGACAAATGGTGCTTGTTCGGGCTTTCAGAGCGATGAGTCCTCGCGGGAGCTCAAGGAGCAGCACGTTTGACCATCGAAAAACCGCAAGTCCCATCGGGCGTTCTTTCTCGGTTTCGGCGGTGCGAACATTGCACTAAAACGTGAATGGAATGTCGAATTAGCGTACAAATGGCCCAACGGTAGCAAAGTGCTTGCTGGGCAATGAAATGGGGCAGTTTACACGTAGGACACCACAGCAGTATTGAGCCGGCGATGATATTGAAAGCAAGGAGATGGAAAGAATCGGCACGAAACGAGGCACTTGTTCATTCTCACACGGACAATAGACTCTCTCGCCCGGATGGATGGAGGGGGGGGGAGCAATAGCGAGTGAGTGTGTGATAAAATTTTATTAGAGCCCATTCATACTATCTTTCTGCTGCTAATGGAGAGGGTCTGTAAGAAAGGACGGAATTCGATGGGATTCTAAGAGGATGCGTTTTATTTTCATTCTGATGTTGGTAGCCTCCGTTTTATTCTTTCGGAACAACAAATCAAGCCGTATGATGTACTGAGAATTGCATTAATGAGCTTTTAATTTGGCAGCTCTTTTTCCTTTCTGAGCGGTTTTATGAACCAAGTTTGTGCCAGAACTCGGCTAATTTGACTTACGCCTAATTTTTCAAAATGGCGTTTTGAACATTTTTTCAATAAATCAAAGTGCAAATTCGGCTCATCTAATGGAAATGACGTCTGAGGCAAAGATGTAAGAACTGGATTGCCTTTACAGAAAAAAATACGCACTGAAATCAATTTAAAAAAAAAAACTGTTGAAAGCTTCAAATGAGAACAGTCCCTACATTAAAATTCTGATGTCATGTTTAGAGTTTTAAAGCTAAATTATCATTAGAGTTCAATTGAAACACTGCTGCAGTTTACTTAGATGTTTTAATTAAATCAGATCAGCTTTTGCTTTGATTTATTTTTTAGTTTTTAACAATAATTCTCAAACTCTTTCCATGCAATTCAACAACAATTTTCATTAAAATAACATAATGTTCCTTAGAAATTGCCTTTGAATTTAACAACATCAAGAACATACCTCGAAATGCATTTCTTCCACAATCATTTCGGAACTTTAACCGGGTATTCATTACAAAGCACTACAGAAATTTGAAGAATACAACAATATAGTGGTGTTTCCTTAACCTTAACCTTCCTGTGCACCAACTCTCAAAACATAAACAATTATCCAAATATTGCTTGCAATGGATAGATATCGAGTAAACCAGAAGATTAAGTGTATTTTTCAACCGATTCGAGTATGGCATTAAATCTGGTTTTGAAAGTTGCTGCACAGGTAAAAAGTGAGGTTACGGGACGCCACTGCAACAATATGATAAACATATGAAGAAGACTTGTACACAGGAGAAAAAACATGTTTTTAGAATTCATGTTTTTTTTAATATCTCGAAAATGGCTGCATTTAGAATGATGATCACTTCAAGATTTGTTAAATAACAATGACATCAGCAATCGTAATATGTGGTTAAAATTATTTTTTTACATTTCACTTAAGACTTTAAAAAAATCATTTTAAGTTGATAATGTTAGAAATATTTTTTTAGTGTCTCTAATTGACTTCACTTTGTGCAAGATTTATATTCTACATAAAAAAAATCTAATTTTCATTAATTTGGATTAAAGTTTTATTTTATAATTTAAACCAAAAATTGAATTTTTTCATGTTTTTTCTACGTTTAAATTAATTCTCTACAAGTCGTCAACCATTTCTGTAAAATCAATAGTTTTTTGGATCCGCCCTTTTAAAATATATTGGTTTTTTCGCCAATTTTCGTCCTTCTTCCATTATTCTTTAAAATTCATTCAATTCATTTTATTTTCAGTACATGTCCTCTTTTCTTGTTATTAACTTTCATTCTTCGAGCTCACTATCTTCAAGCTTCTCGTAATATTCTTTACTAATCATTTCCTTAAATTTTGTGTGTGTTTAGCATACTGATGCTAGGGAAGAGCATCAGTATGCTAAACACACTAAAATCAGAGAAAATCAGTAAACATTTTCGGGCTATTTTTCTTAGCGGTACCGTCAATTTCTACTAAAACGACTACTATACTATAGCAGCAAAGCCAATCCCTTGATTCAAAATTCAGGGTTCAAACAATCATTTCAAAGTCCTTTCGGGCGAACCGAAATTTGTCACCCGCGGCACTTGCTGTGCGACCGAAGAGAAGGGGCCCGGCCGCAACAGCAGCAGCGACCGAAATGTGTGTTTCTTTCCATATAAATACTCGCTGCGATCGTCACTCACAGTATCAGTTCCAGTTTAACTGCAATCAACCAAACGTGTTTTAATCGCAATCACACACCCCTCAAACCCCACTCAACATGTACTCCAAAGTTGTGGTAAGTTCTGAAAGGTCAATTATAAAATTTCTAAACAATACAAATCAATCTCCATTGCTTCAGATCTGCCTGGCCATCTGCGCCCTGAGCTCGGTTTCGGCCGGAGTTATCCCAGTCGCTGCCCCGTTGGCCGCCGCCGGAGTCGTTGCCCCGTACGCCACCTCGTACAATGCGCACACCGTGAACCACAACATTGCCGCTCCGTACGTGTCTGCCGCCCCAGTCGTTGCCAAGTACGTCGCCGCCCCGGCTGCTTACGCCGCTGCCCCAGCGGCCTACACCGCTTACGCCGCTGCCCCGGCTGCCTACGCCGCTTATGCCGCTGCCCCAGCTGCCTACGCCGCTAAGTACGTTGCCGCCCCAGCTGCCTACTCCGCTGCCTACTCTGCCGCCCCAGCAATCGCCGCTTACAGCGCCCCCTACAACTACCCATATCTGTTCTAAGTACGTGTATTAACAGAAGATGTGTGCTAGTCAAACTGAACCCGCTTAATTTATGTGTGAAAATAGCTGCTGTTGAGTAAATAGATAGGATGAATTTTTAATGCAACTAAAAATATTGTGTTTTTTATTATTATTATGATGCTCTCAAAACTCAAAGCTGCTTTGCCGTTTATGGTCAAGGTTTCAATTGGCAATACAAAGTGCATCACTTAAAATCAATTTCTTTGATTAATCTTTTTGAAGATGTAAAATTATCAATGGGAAATGGCTCTAATGGATCTAAGATTGGGCCCATCGCTAAAAATCTGCTATTTATCAATTGTATCTAGATCAACGCATGATTGGGACGGTACTAATGGATATTTTTGGTCGCTATTGAAAATCTAGTTGATTGCAGAATGTATGTATGGGCCCAAATTAGGGGCATTTAGGCCGACATTAAATCCATTTCCCCTGCAACAAAAAATTATCTTCTTCCATATTTTTAAATCTTTTTCATTGAAAGCTTATAAAACTTTCTAGCTTCTGTGAAACTCTCAAGTTGGCCACTCAAACATTAACAAACATCCTTAAATCGCAACGTTTAACCAAATTTTTGAACTTTTTGTTAAAACAGGTTATTTGAAATAAATTTGCACCGGAACGAATTTGAAAGTCTAAAAAATGGTTTTCTGTGCAAGATTTTGCGATTGAGAATCTGAATTAACAAATAGTTTTAAAATGTGTCCAAAAGTTGTCGTTCACGGATTTTTGTTGTACATTAATTCAGCAATCGACTAAATTTCCAATAGCGACCAAAAATATCCATTAGTACCGTCCCAATGACGCGTTTATCTAGATAAAATTGATAAATAGAAGAATTTTCGCGATGGGCCCAATATTAGATCCATATGCCAACATTAGAGTCATTTCCCCTATAAGGTTTATTTTTTTATTTGTTACTTTAAAAAAAAATTAAAGGAACTAATATTTCTGACTACTTTGTCTCAAACGTCTTTTTCGACTTTTTCGAGTAATGATTTATTGAAAAATATCGAATACGCCATTTAAGTTTTTTGCGAGATTTAAAATAACCGAATTTTAGCTCATACATTAATGGAACTTGAATTTTTTCTTCAAATCCACAGGAAAACTTCAAGTTCCCTCATCCATTAATGTATGAACTAGGTAAAGGATGTGCGTTTGACTAGTACTGTCAAATTATTGATCTTGTGCCCAATTCCAACTTCTGTTCAATTTTCACACTGCCGTACTCAGAACTTTCTCTAGCTAGTAAATTATCACACTCAAGCTTCATGTGTATATTAGTACAGCATTTCCAACCAACTCTAATTTTGATTTATAGGGTACATGTCGCTAACCGCGGTGTAATATGAAGCCTTCAATTACATTTTATGCCATATCTTATTTAATAATTGAGAATCAAAATTACTGAACCCATGGATTGGAGGATCAAATTAACATAGTGAAACCAGTCCAAATAAATTTAACAATTAAAAAAAAAAACATAAACTAAATAGGGGAAATGACGGCTTCGGCATGACAGATTATTTTCGGCAACCTAAATTGAAACACTATTTTCACTGGATTTTCTTACGAAAACACTTCGCTGAATGCATGCAAACGATTCTTTATGCTTTCAGCTTCAATTTGACTATATTTTTACCACTGAGAAAAAGCAATCTAGCAGGGTTTTCTTGAAATGAAACACACGCACTACAAATTGTAGCTGATTTCGGGTTGCCGATAATAGAACAGCAGATTTACATGCAGTTCAAATGGAACGGTTGCCGAAGAAAAAGATGTTGCCGACAATACTCGCTCTCACTAGAGAAGATTGGAGCTTTGTAAAAGCGTTTCAAAACAGTTTTTGACAATTCTTTCGACTGAAATTATTAGAGCAGCTGGGAGCAAAAGATTGTAAACAAACCAATACTGCATATGTGTGCGTTCCTTAGAGAAAAAGGCTATAGAAAGAAGGTCGCTGCTTAGGTTGCCGAGAATACGTAAATTCCCCTATATGTCCTTGAAAGTGGAAAATGATTATGAAAACTACAAGGGACAACCCTATGGGGGTTGAGCTCCTGTTGTGTTTTGTGTAGGAATAGGAATTTGAGCGTTTATACTTTTTAGTATGACGCGCATGACATAGATGGTCCACAGTGACTCACGAAGAGCTACTGATTCCGATCAATAGCGGTGCGGCTTCTTCCTCGTTCTATGGATGCTCATGTGGGCTGCAGCTCGCTGCTTGCAGGCAGCCTTTCGTTGTGTACTGGAGAACACCATCACTGATTGAATAAACACAGTTTGGTAAGACCGGATGGAATTCAACTTTGAAACCTGTGTTAGGGAAATTGGTTTTCGCAGGCAATCGGTGATAATTTTAATTTCCATAGAAACAGTTGCACATTCGTGCGATTTACAGTAGTGACATTTTGAAAAATGATAAAGTCTTAAATTCAACAGATGCGTAGAAATATTTCTGATAGATTGATGATAAAATTATTGAAATTGGTCCAGGGGCAACTGAGTTATTAACGTTCAAAATCTTTCATAATTGTGTTACATGTTCCATTTTCGGTTTTCACAAAGTGTACCCCATATAGAAATCACAGACGTAGTCCTACGTCAAAACGTATAAATAGTCACAAAAACTCAAAAAATTACCCCTAAATGTCTAAAACGACATAAGAAAAATGTGCAAAAAATGGTACCGTAAAACGGGGTAACATTGATAATTTTTTAGAGTAGATTTTGATTTTTTGTTTTACAGCAATTATTGTTTTTAAATTGTTATGTATGTTTTCAACAAGTACTGAGGATCCTAGAGTTAATTCGATAGTAATATGTTTAACGAAAAGTAAAGCATATGCATTATTTTTTAAGTTTTGTGGCCGTATTTTGAATTGGGGTTATTTCGATAATGCTCGATGAATGTAGAAAATGCGTGAAACTCAAACAATGTAGTGCTTGAAATATGCAATTTTGAATGACTATACATATAATCAGAAAACATCATAAGCAATAAGAATACAACATTGATGGCTATATCGAAAATATATTTCGTAAGTGATGGTTGGTATTATAAACGCTGAAATGGCTGAGTCGAAAATGTGGTTTAAAAATCGCCAAATTGGACCTATATACGCCACAATGGCCAGGATCACCAAAATGGTTTTACAAACGTCAAAATGGTCTAAGGTCAATAGGATGATTTTTGAAAACAAACCGCAAAATTAGAATTATAAGTGCCAAAACTAACACTAAGCTAACACCAAGAAAATGAACATGAAAATAATTCATAAATCGCAGAAAGCCCAACAATTCCCGCTTAGCAATTTGCCGTATTTTTTAGGAATTCTGGGAAATTTTAGCCGGTTGTTCGATATAGTGTAAAATGGGATAAGATGCACCCCTAGGGCAAGATGACTTTTTGGCGTTTAAAATACCATTTATACCTCTTTTTCAGGGATCTTTAAAGGTACATTGATAGTTCAATGTCCTAGCTACCAATGCTGCATGGTAAATCCACGAAAATATATTGAAAATGTATTCAAATTTGGCGAAAAGACATCTTGCCTCGCGAGTGCATCTTACCCCATCTTACCTTGCATTCAAATTAAGCATAAAACCAAATGCGATTGAACCGAATAGATAACTAGGTTACATGAGTAAAGACAGCACATTTTTTCCTCGATCTTGAATTTGGTTCTGCGCTCGAAGTCTGCAAAATTTGTATGAAAATTTGTTTAAAAATTTACAGGATTTTATTCAACTGTTCTCAAGCATTTCCATTGAAATAATTTCCCTTCACAGAGTTCTTTTCAGAATTCCTCTAAAATAAAATTGAGATTCTCTCTGGGAGTACCTGGAAAACGTCTTTATGACAGTCCAGAAATTCTCTGCAGAACACTCCACAAAAATCATGAAATTCGTCCTTAGCCACTAAGATAATTTTAATGTTTTGCTATGAATTGGCTTAAGCTTCCATCCTTCTACTTCTTCTCCTTCTTATTCGCATTTCAAGCTTATTGCTTAGTGCATATTAGCTTATTGCGTGCTCTTAACTTAGTGTTCTAAATGCACTTCCACAGTTATTAATTGAGAGCTTTCGCTGCCAATACCGATGCATGAATTTGTATATTGTGTGGCAAGCAAAATGATACTCTATGCCCAGGGAAGTCGAGAAAATTTCCAACCCGAAAAGATTCCCTCGACCGGACCGGGAATCGAACCCGCCGCCTCCGGCTTGGTAATATCGTGCCTTTACTGACTAGGCTATGAAGCCCCACTAAGCTTCCATGAATTTTTTTTGATTCGCTTGAATTCTCCTTCAAATTGGCATGAAATTCACATTCAGAATTGCCTTAAATTTCTGCTCAAAATTATCTTAGAAATCTCCTCTAAACTGTTCCGAAAATTCCCTTGGAATTCTGCTTCAATTGATCTAGATATTCTTTTCAAGATGCCCATGAAATTATCCTCGGAATGTTCTTAACACTCTTCCCACATTTTTTTCCTTTTCAATTATAGCCTCAAAATTCGACTTCCTTTGTATTTTTCACGGATCCTGGAATAGAAGTCATAGAATTTATCAATTGACTTGAAGTTCTAACCAGCAAGCATTGGAAGCAGTATAAGAGCTTATTCTTGCAAACATATGCTTCTACAACTAAAAATTGCTTATTCGGTCACAAATTGTATGTTGGGTAGTCAAAACTCTCTTAGAGATCATCCTAAAACTTGCTAGGTCATTTTCTGTTAAATACCTTGATGTTATTTCTAGAAATCATTCAAAAACCTGCACAAAATTGATTTGAAAAAAAAATAATCTAAAATTCGCTTAATAGTTCTTAAAAATTACTGTACCCTGAAAATCTACTACAATCCAAGGATCTTGACATTTTTTTCAAGGTCCAAAATGTCATTTTTCAATGAAAGACAAGGTATATTTTTCCCGATTTGTCATCGAAATTATTTATTTTTCGGTTTTCAATAAAAATAAATCAACCTTTTTTTCCATGATTTGTTTTCCGTCGATCTTGTTTTCCGTGCTGAGCACCAATGCTACCGACGCCAGGAAGCCAGCTTCCACACCTGGACCCTACAATCGACCCATCAACTGAACCGGGGACCAACGGCTTTACTTCCTTCCGAAGGAAGTCGTGATCAGAGATGTTATGCCTCAGAACATCCCGACGGCACCGTCTGGGATTGAACACAGGCCTGCTGTGATGAGAGGTAATCACGCTTACAACTACACTACCGGCGCCGCTAAATAAATCAACCTTTAAAATCAATTTAAAAAAACAGTAATGATCCGGGGCTGACCCTGGCCTTATGGTTAGCATCCAAAGTCACAAGTTCAAATCTCACCCCGGACAAGTCACGAATGACCCAAGGGTGTTAAAATGACTTTAATAAAAAAAAAGGAACGACACGATTTTGCCAGCCCCCTTTTTTGAAAATATTTTTTTATGTTCTAAGAAACCCATGCACTTTTTCAGTGGTCTGAATGCAACAAAGTATATACCTTAAACATACATCTTGAAGATGAATGAGAAAATTTGGTGATCTGAAATTACTGAACGATAAAAGTCTGATGTGCGGAGGGGCTGACAATGATCGGGTCATTACTGTAAAGCCTTTGTAGGGCTTAGAGTGGGGACCGTTATTATCATCAAAAATTTATTTGAAACACCAACATATTTAAGGCTATTCGAGGAAAAGTAATTAATCATTCTACTCCAAAATTTCATCATGAATTTAAGTTAAAACGTTTTATTTGCTCTAGGAAAAATTTGAATGTTTTCGATCAGTTTTGATGAAAATTTAATTTTAATTTTGAGCATGTTTTGAAATTTGAAGTCTTACAGGTGCTTAATTTCGAGCAGTTTCGATTCCAGAATACTTAAAAAACTTGTGATCCTGCGACCCACTTACGAACAGTTCGCGATCCACAGACAATTGCATTCATCTCGCCACAACAACAACAACAGTCGCAATCCGTCTAATACACATCCTAACCAAACATCTCCAGCGTACGTTCCACCGTCGTCCTCAAGCAAGTGTTTTAAATTGCTTCGCATGCTATTCATTTCGACTGCACAGTGACCAATTTCTGTGTGATCAAACAGACTCATCAATGCTCGACATTCGACGCGTGACTATCTTCGTCATTACCCGGGCCTGCCCGCCCGCCGAACGACGCGTCGACAGCTGATCGGCGAACTGAACCGTTTATGCTAATTTCGATCCAAATTTTGCACCACTACCGTCCACAGCCGGCCCAGCCCAGCACGTCTTCTTAATCGAATTGCAATGCGCGCACAAATGGCTTCTGCTGGCCGCGGTCGTGTCGGTTTCCCATATGAATTCGAACCGGGCGAAGCCGCATGGCAATTTCAATTGTCGTCGTCTGTCGTTGACCACTGGCGGCCGCAATGAATTGGTGCAACGTGGACATTGACTAGTCAGGACAAGGTCAAGGAATTCACGGATGCCGTTCGAGTTGCCATTCCATGTGAGCGCGGTGCGAGTGACGTGTGGAGGTGGAATCACTATAAAACCATGTCCTGAGCGATCGGTAAGGCACAGTTTGTCACCTGCAATCAAAGCAAAAACCCCCTCAAACAATTAACATGTTCGCCAAAGTGGTAAGTTTTTGAGTTTGTTCAAATTGGGTGAAGAGATTTTAACCAGAATTCTTTCGCAATTTTCGCACAGATCTTCTTCGCCGTCCTGGCCATCGCTTGCGTTGCCGCCAAGCCTCTGTTCCCGGTAGCTGCCTACAGCCCCTACAGTGCTCCATTCGTGGCTGCCTCGCCAGCTCTGGCCGCTTACTCTGCTCCGGTAGCAGCTGCCTACACCGCTGCCGCCTACACCGCCGCATCGCCCTTCGCCGCTGCCTACTCTGCCTATCCGTATGCCGCTGGCTACCCATATGCTGCTGCCGCTGCCCTCCCCTACACCTCTCTGGTCCTGTAGATTTCGGAACTCTGGAAACGCCCCTTTCACTCAAGTCTTATGATCTCGCAAATTTGGAACACTAATCGAAAGTAACTTTCCTTTTCCCCGAAGACAAAAACAAACATGAACCAAAAAGTCGAAGAAGATTTCTGCGGTGCAAAACATAAATTCTCAAAAAATTTGCAACTTTACTTGCTGGAATGTCTGTTAATGAAGAAAGAAATTGAATGTTAATTTAAGACTTGCCCAACACAAAGCTGAATCGTTCTCCGCAAGCAAAATGCAGAACCTCACAAATTTGAAACCTGGCATAATCTGTTTGTTTATGTACATGAAATTTAATCCTTGAACGATTCACCTTTTCCGCGCCCCTTCCCTTCCCCACAAAACGGAATTCAAAGAGCCCATAAACAAACAATAAACCCGAAAAGAGCCAACGAGAGCAGCGATTCAGAACAATCGAGCATAAAAAATAATGCTACACACAACATTTCATAGTCCCCATCCTTCGTTGCCACCCCCAGCCCAAATAAAACCAAATGGAACAACGACGATGGCGACGACCGAAATGGCGATCCTTGTTTATGAAAATAAGATTATTATTTATTGATTAGGATCGGAGTTATGTGACCGCACACCCGCACCGAGTTCCGACTGACCCTCATGCCTGCGTCTGCCAGGTCAGGATAAGAAAGAGAGCGCAGGGAGAAGAAAGTACTCTCCTCCTTGCCAGCCGCAAGGATGGGTAAGTCTGGTGGCTGGCGGCTGGCTGCATACAAAGCATCACATTCAGGTTGGCCATATGGGGCACACTGTACGGTATAAAATCTGTAGCTCGAAGCGAGTATTGGCACTACTGGACGAGTCTAGTGAACCGCATCAGCAGCCACACCACCAACCGAATCGTCATATATTTGGGTTCGTTTTTCATAAAGTGGAACAATTTACGACGCTCTTCGGAATAATCGAGTCTGGCTTTTCGGGTTGGTTTCGGTTCAAAGATATGCGGTCCCATAAATGTTGATTTGCATTTATCAGGACGTTAAGTTGGGGAAATTGAATACCTAGGAGCACCATCCGGAACAAGTCCATTCTTCTGATTCCAATCGACTGCTTCTAATATCGAATAATCCGTACATATTACAATGCAAAGCCGGTCGGCTATAGCTCCCCAGGACCGTATTGTTTTTCCAATAAAGATAACGCCTGGTTCCAAAAACAACTCGGAAAATTTTCCATTTTCCTTGCATCCCTGTTTTTACCAACTCGTCCAATCGATGCCGAAATGGAGCAGACGATGATGGACCCATTCAATTGTGTAATCCGTGCGACGCGCCGGTAACAACAACCAGTCTGGGCCTCTTTCATCCATCCCTTTATCGAACACTCTCACAAACACACACACACACACACACGCTTTGTACGTATGGTGTCCGGATATTCTACGGATCGTCCCGTTTCAGTGACGGGTGGCAGCAACCGACCGACCGATCGACCGACTGACACCCAAGACCAGGAAACCGTCGATAATTTGCCACTTTTGTCAGACTTTCCTCCACCTTGTTCAACAACAGCAGCCAGAAGACCGGTAGCTCGGAATGGAAAAGAGCAAAAAGTGTCGGGGCCAAGGATGCTCCGTGCTCAATGTTCATCGTCCGTTATTTGTTATGAATCCTTTTGCCTGTGGCATATTTCTTGTATTTAGATATCGATAAGGTAGACCGGTTCAAGTGATATCTGATATTCGGAAGCTTTCGCCAGACGTCTTCGGAACTTTTGAGACCGCTTGAAAGGCAGTTTCTGAAAGTCTTGTGGAGTTGACTTATTTACTACGACGTAACCAGGAGAAGTCCCATACAGGGTGGCCACTGTCTTTTTTTTTAATTCCCGGGTTTTTTCCCGGTTTTCCCGGTACGCAAAACCTAGGCGGCGCCGACTGGGATTGAACCCAGTCCTGTTGGGGTGAGAGGTAATCACACTTACCACTACACCACCGGTGCCACTTAGTAGGGTTAGTAGTCGTTATATAAAATTGTTAATTTGTTTGTTTTTAAATTTGAAAATTGTCAAAAACCGTACAACAGTACAGTGGGTACAACAACATTCGGGCGAGAAGAGCAATGGGATGGGAAAAGCGCGAAGGAAATCCGCCATTCCTCAATCAGTATCTGGCGTTCGTGTGCTTCGGAAGTATCTAAGTATCCTTAAAGTAATGTCAAGTGAGTGGTAGTGTCCTGCCATGCAAGGCCAAAATCGCCACATTCCTCGGGCCAAGACGGCTCTCAAAGCAAAAGAGGACCCCTCTCAGCAAAGCCACTCCGGTCTTGCCTGGACTCTTGTGATTCTTGTCAACGAGACGCCAGGAGACCGCAGATCGCCATTTAGTCAAGTCGATCTGTTAACCGATCCACTAGCAAGTAAATTCAAACATCACCACCCTGCCCGGCTATCTTGATTCGCCTGACGTTAAGCTTGTCGTACGTAGTATCATCAGAGAGCGCTCGCACATTGGCAGAGTAGTCCTTCGGTAGAGCACCCATCACCCATAAAGCTCAATAGAAGTTCTTTCAGAAATCCAATCCAAACCTGCTATAGCTTTTCTTAATAAATAATTAGTATACACCAATTGATTTCTGTGTCACTTACACTATCCATAGCCTTTAGTCAGGTGACAGTACTACATATGTTGATCGCAAAGCCCCTCCAGATTACCCAGTAGCAATACGACCTTGAGACAAGCTTGAAAGGTTTCTTGCTACTGAGCATTTTACCGGGATACAGACAGTAGAGTTACAACACATCGTAGTAGCCCCTCGATTTCAAGATGGTAAACAAAGCAAATCAGGACATGAGTTGCGCATGACTCTCTTGTAGTGACAGTACCTACAGTAGTCCGTTTGCTAGATTATCGCAAGCTGTTGAAACGCGATGTTACGCGAAGTTTTGCAGCTACACTGTTGACATTCTGCGAAATGGATCCGGAAACTACAATTCCCGGTAGTGTCAAGCTGTGTTGTGGGGCCTCCCTTAGCTCAGTCGGTAAAGACGCAGCTACAAAGCAAGAGCATGCTGGGTTCGATTCCCGGTCCGGTCTAGGAATTTTTCGGGTTGGAAATTTTCTCGACTTCCCTGGGCATAGAAGTATGATTGGACTTGCCACACAATTATACTAATGCAAAAATGGTACAGGCATCGAAAGCTCTGAATTAATAACTGTGGTAGTGCATATAGAACACTAAGTTGAGAGCAAATAAGTTAATATGCGATATGCAATAAGCTTGAAATGCTAAGAAGAAGAAAAAAAGAATAATAATAATAATAATAATAATAATAATAATAATAATAATAATAATAATAAGAAGTCAGGCTGTGTTGTGCACATTTTGAATCGGTTGATATGGAAGTGAAACAAAATTTTGTATACCAGAAGTTCCAATAGATTTGCCTGAATACCATGATATTCAATCTAAGCTGATCAATCGTTTGAAAAACAAGCAGAAGTTGAAAATTAAGAAAAGTCGATTCAATAGCAAATATGTGATGATGTAAGATTTTCCCAGGTGATAAATTTGATTGTTTTGATTAGATAATTGATAAGAACGAAATAATTAAAAAAACAACAGGCGATACGTATTTGTCTCATAATCATGAAATTATTTCCAAAAAAAAACGGTTGACTATTTATTCACTCAGATTTCAACACCTCCTATCTGATTCCTTCTTAAAAGAACAGTAACAGATTTTGACAGTTCTAATTGTATGTATGTAAGGTAGCCACCATCCTTTCGAAGATCTTGTCTTGTATGCAGCTCCACTTAATAGCAAGATCAATTTGAGCTACCGATCCGAATTCACAATATCGCTGTATGAAGGGCCAAAAACGGAGGGGTGGACCCGTAAGCAGAGACACTTACGCGAAATACGCGGGAATGTAAGAATCTCCTTCCAACGATACGATCCAACAAATCGAATAACGCAATTCGCAATACTTTAAGCTTCCTACAGGATGGTTTGTTAAGAAGGGCGCGTCAATCTCCCTTAAACTGTTGGAGTAGAATTCACACCATCACAATCGAATCGGTGGGATAAAGGGTGATACGGTCAAAATTTGGTCAAGGGAAAACGCGTGTAAATCGGTGAAATCGTTTATTTAAAAAATCAAATTAAATTTCTTTTTCAAGTTCAATTAGTATAAAATTCAGGAAAAATATTCAGTTAGGCTTCCGCTTTTCCAAATCCGAATTGCCGGGCCTTACGCTTGACCCCTGCCATCAGATTTTGTACAGCCAACCTTGTCCACCTTCTTCGCCGCAGAAAGCCAGTTTGCCTTGAACTGCTGCTCGCCCTTAGCAGTTTTTTTGGTCTTCTTTAGGTTCCGCTTGACAATAGCCCAGTATTTCTCAATTGGGCGGAGCTCTGGCGTGTTGGGAGGGTTCTTGTCCTTGGGAACCACCTGCACGTTGTTGGCGGCGTACCACTCCATGGCCTTTTTACCGTAATGGCAAGATGCCAAATCCGGCCAAAACAGTACGGAACAACCGTGTTTCTTCAGGAAAGGCAGCAGACGTTTATTCAAACACTCTTTCACGTAAATTTCTTGGTTGACAGTCCCGGAAGCTATGAAAATGCTGCTTTTCAAGCCACAGATACAGATGGCTTGCCAAACCAGATATTTCTTTGCGAACTTTGACAGTTTCATGTGCTTGAAAACATCTGCTACCTTTCCCCTTCCTTTTGCCGTATAAAACTCCTGTCCCGGAAGCTGCTTGTAGTCGGCTTTGACGTAGGTTTCGTCGTCCATTACCACGCAGTCAAACTTCGTCAGCATCGTCGTGTACAGCCTCCGGGATCGCGCTTTGGCCGTCGTATTTTGTTTATCATCGCGATTTGGAGTCACTACTTTCTTGTAAGTCGATAGTCCGGCTCGTTTTTTGGCTCGATGCACGGTTGTAGACGATACACTCAGCTTATTTGCGGCATCTCGGAGAGAGAGGTTAGGGTTTCGCTTGAAACTACCGGCAACTCTCTTTGTCGTCTCAGC